CGTAAGAAAAAAAAAATAGTGCCTTGTGTTTGTGTGCTACTTGGATGTTAAGGAGTGTAATAACCACTGTAGGAGTCTTTTTACTCCATATTATGCTTATTAGAAAGTTCCTTTTTGTAGTGTTGCTTGATGTGAACGTTCCATGAAAAGTCAGTATACGGCTGAAACTAACATCAAAAGCATTCCCTCTGGCATTCCCGAGAGAGTAAAAAAAAAAAAATGTTAGTGAGTGGTGCTTATTGAGTGATGTAATGTGGCAGTTTATTAGACACTTATTAAGGCAACAAATATTGCTTTATTTTACTTGCTGGTCTCTCTGGCAAACCTCAGAACTGAAGATGACAGCTTAAAAATCTGTTAAGAAAATTAAGAGGCTCAATTGGTCAAATAATGTATACCAATGAAGGGAAGACCAAACAACACAGTGCACGTGTTTTGTACTGACAGTATCGTTGGTGCAAAGAAGTTGTTTACAAAAAAATATTAGAATGGATTAGATTCAAAGGAAAATTTGATGTTTATTGGTACTTATGTGGTTTGAAGAGTGATTAAGAACTCATTAAGAACCAAATTTTTTATCCAAGATTGTAACTGATTATGATGTAATTTATCCCTCTTATAGACAAGATAGGTGTTTGTTGAAGACAATGACCCTATCTTTTTTAGCAATCCAAATTTAAGTAATTAAAGATAGATAATCTACACTTCTCAGTGGAATTGGGTGGTAGTAACTGTAATTACACAGTAATGTGGAGTAAAGCATTAAAACTTTCTATTAGCAACTTTATGACTGCTCAGAGGCGTGCATATCATAAACAATGCAAGTGTGTATCGTTTTATAACTGAACTTTTTTTTTTATTCTCTTATTATAATTGCAACTTGTCTTGGTCCTTGAGAAGCTTGTGTCATGTATGATTGCCATTCAAATTAATGTCCCAACAGCGTGATTTGACCTCAAAGCCCTTTCAACAGCAGATGAGTGTAAATGTTTCATGTATCATTTTTGCTTTAGCATGTCATCATTAGAAACATAACCCTGAGTCATTAGGATAGAAAAAAAAAGTCATTTTTTTCTAGATGCAAATGAAAAGCTGATGCCAGATCAGTATCAAGTATTTTTTTTGTCGTAAATCTGTTACACATTAGATTCTTTAACTTTGTGGCTGTACAATGATTGCAGAAGTATTCACATTAGATATTTGCATTTGGTTGACGCATTGTAATGTTGAGTGATAAAAAGTATTGCGGCACTGTCATGTCACGCTGCAGACAGTATGTGCACCACAATTGACTTACTAGAATATAAAGAAATATGGTATGTATCCAAAACCAATGACAGTCTCTGACATTAGTCAGCTTACACGGTAATTTATTCAAACAGAAGTTGCATATTATGCTAAGATATTGCTGGGTTGAAGGTAGGAGGAGTGTCTCTCTTGTAGATGCACGCAGTAGAGTTAGACAATGCACCCCAAGCTCTCTTCAGACCCATACATTTACCTGAGGTTATTGCCAATTATTGTAAGTAAGTCAGGTGGTTTAGGTCCTACTTATTTATCTTACAGTTGTGAGTGTTTTATCATTCTTTATTTATATGCATGTACATGGTGAGTGGTGTTGAATATCTGAACAGTATGAAGAAAGCAATTAAGAAAGACAGACTGTTGACATTTTGAGTGATACATTGGTTCAAGGAGAAGCATTTCTCTCACCGTCAAAATGTCTTAGGCTTCAGCAGTAGCGTTTAATTAGTGTAGTATAATCCAGCTTCTGCATTTGTTGTATTCATTCACATTAATCACTCATTAGTTGGTGTTTAGTCATTGCTGGCTGGTTGTCTTTGTTTTATGTAACTAATTAATTATTTTGTTCATTTATCACCTAAGAGTATTTATGGTTAATATAATTCAGTACCTTCGTACAAGATGCTGTTTAGAGTCCCTTTCATAACTTTTTTTTTTTTTTTTTTTTTTTTTTTTTTCTTCAATAGTAGAATTCGGATCGTCCCCCTCGCCTCTCTCTTCTCTTCTTGTTCTTTTCTCTTATCCTTGTACCAGTTCGTATCTTTATTCCTAGTCTTATTCCTATTCCTATTTTTTTATTCCTATCCTTGTCCTTGCTCCTCCTCTTCTTCCTTCTGCCGTTTTTTCTTTAGAAAGTCTCGCTAAATTCTTGCTTTTGCTCCTTCCCATACATAGAGTCCTGTTTATCTGCATCTATACAGAGAAAGTATGCACAAAGATTTAACATAGTTTTCTTTATAAGAAAGCTGACACTTTGCAAAGGACGGAAGAAATGTCTTTGGAGGAGAGATTTCTGTTTTGCTGATTGCGAGAGTTTAGGATATATGTTGGTTATTATTCTGTGTTTAAGCAGTAGATGGACTTTGTTATATAAATATATGTATGTACATGTATGTGTGTATATGTGTGTTTATAAGTACACGTACATGTCCACATGCTCACACACACACACATGCACACTCACACTCACACACTTACATTCACACATACACTCACACTCACACTCACACACACACACACACACACACACACACACACACACACACACACACACAACACACACACACACACACACACACACACACACACACACACACACACACACACACACACACACACACACACACACACACACACACGTATATATATAAACGTACACATATCACATGGAGAAGCATTTACAATGAAAGATGCAATGGAAGTCAATCTAATGGCTGTCACAAAATGAGTAAAGATGTGATGACTCGTGCTTGAAAGAGAACCCTCACTCTGTCACGTAGTACTGACCAATGAAAATGTTTCAACAGAAGTGTAAGCAGTCTTGTATTGAGGAATAGATGAACGACAGTGCTGTTTCAGCAAGAATGTTTATAAATCTTTATACATGGACAGGGAGCTTTAGTCAGTGCTACAGGTTATATGTGGTCTGTGAATGTGGAGAAGCAACCAGTTAGTATATAATTTATTTATTACTCAAAGATGGGAGATATTTTTGCTGTTCTTTCTCGGCAGTGGAAAAGCATTATCTCGGGGTAGTAATGGTATAATGGGAGTACTTTATTTGGTGAAAATATTACTGTGTCTTTAGTTCATCTTGGGTTCTTACAGAATGAAATTATATTTTCATCTTTTTGCTTGTATTTATTATTATTATTATCATTTTTTTCATGATTTCCATGATTAGTTGTACGTATGAACTATACTTCATGTACAACTTATATGCATTTCTGAGAAAATGGAAACAATGATCTCTACCATAATTCGGTGTATAGGATGTGTGTGTAGAAATGGACAATAGTATTTTCAGCAGAATTTACAGATTCTTTATTTAGATTATGAAGATTTCTTGATCACTTGTTCATGAGAATCTGACGGGCCAGCTACTTCATGTTATATGATAAATGAAAACAACTAATATGTCTTTTTTATTCAGTCATTTAGTTTTTGTAATTGATTCAACAGGAAAAAAGGGCAGGAATGAGCAAGTTTTTTTTTTTTTTTCCAATTTATGATATTCTGTGATTTGTTTCTTGTCTCAAGAAATTTTAGGGATGTTGTTTTAACTTCTATGACCTTGAAAATCACTCAAGGCACTTCTCACTACAATGCCTTTCCACAAATGTAAATATTATTTTACAAGTTCAATCTATCTTTTCTGTCACTTGTTTCTGTGGATGTTACTCAGGCAGTAAATACATTCTGAATATGATGGAAAATCTTGTTTCAGCTTCCACTGCACAAAAGATTCCACGTAAAGTAAGAGATGCATTTATGTACATTCTTATAGATGATATTTAGATACCTATTTAAAAGTCAACAGGTTTCCCTGCTTTTATTGTATTCAAATCATCTCCTTAAGAAGAGGACAACTGTGTTATCTCGAATGTTATATTTATTCCGAGTCTTTGGATATACCTGAAATGCACACGTTCTCACTTGAGAAAAAATTATATAGTTCACTTATCCACTAACTGTAACATTCCTTGATATTATTCCTTTTGGTTAGTGCAAAACCATCACTTTTTTAAGAGGCAAATGATGTAATAGCTACTGATTAGAAGGTATTTTCATTGACAAAACTTATTTTTTCATCTTTTCAGAGTCATTGCAGGAAAATAAATTATATAAAGATAAATATTCCTAACACATCTGTAGCAGATTTAACCTACTGTTAGTCATATTGACGTTCTCATTCGCTGATTAGGCATTCTGTCCTCATGCACAGGAATACCACCATCTGTCTTATTCTGAGGTTATGGATTTTTGTTGATAATATTGTGTGAAAAAAAATTCAAACTGCAACTAACATGTACAAAATGGTGCCACATTATACTTTTGCTATATTATACTAAACCTCTGACCTTGCCAGTGACATCAGCTTGACTGTACGGATTCTGATGAAGGCAATTTATAGCAGTAATTCGGAACTTATATACTGTCTCCAGCTGTTGCAAACTGATGAGTCTCAATTTTTATTGTACGGTGTTTATCGGGTTTTGTTAGTTCATACCTTGTGTTAACAGTATGTTTTTGTTTCTTTTTCCAAAAAAAGTATTGAAATTTAGAATACATTTTTGAAAATAGTGTAGGGAACATTTCACCAAGACTTTCATATTATGATTATCATTGGACTTTAAGATTGCTAAGCTCATCAGAATCATAGACCACATCACCATTTAACTACAAGACAGCTAAGGAAACTTCTGTCAAATCAAGTGTCGTAAAGAGCCTCTTCTGTGGAATCAAAAGAGGCGTATTCTTGAAATGTGCTTAGCAGGAGTCCTTTGTTCTTTATTGTTTATTTCATTTGGGTTGAAATCTTGTAACTGTTACGTGCATATATCCATACGTATTGTGTCACCGACTATACGTCTTCAAAAGTGGAGAGTACGCATTAGTGTTGTCTTGGTTCAAGGACAATTACTAAGCGGTTCATGACAGTGGAGTGTGATGCTGTCCTGCCATCAAGTGCCTTACCTCATGACTCATGAAGCATGAACTGTATCAGACTAAATAGTGCATATTAGTGCATGATATATATTATTACTACTGATATTCTGTACATACGGAACATTTCCAGTTATGTGCCTTATGCTTCATTGTAACACATTTTCTTTTCCATTTGGGATGTTATGTAAACTAACAGTGATAGATATTTTGCTGGTTCCTTCTGATCTCCATACTTACTTATTTACTCTGTATAACATTCATAATTATCCAGCATTAGTCATTGTACATCAAACTCATACAATATGTTTTCCAAAATGTTATTTTTCTTTCACTTTTGCTAAGCATGCTTGAAGAATGCAGCTCTAAGTCACAATGCATATCTTCCCCCGTTGTCTGGGTTGCTCAAGTGGCCCGGCTCTGTATTTATACTTTTACTGTAGAAATAAATAAAAGTAAAAATCCACTTCTGTCTTTCAATTGCATTCCAGTCTGTTTTACAGGATACTGAAAGCCTGATGCTGTCACACTAGCACTTTTTCCGTCAATTTTTTGACAATTTTATTTAACATAAATACAAACAATCTCGAATATAGCTCTTGGTTTGACTTTGCTTGGCTGAAAAAGTTGACGGAAAGGTTTTCAGACGGAAACGGTCATTATCGTCTGACTGGAGAATCGACAATTCGCTAAAAAATGGGAAAAAAATGAAAATTGTCAAAAAATTGACGGAAAAAGTGCTAGTGTGACAGCACCATTATTATAGTAGTATCAGTTTAGTCAATAAAAGAATATTTTATGGAGAATAATCAACACAAATAAAAATTTTGGTATTTTGATTCTTCAGATAAAAACTATACAAAATATATCAAGAAACCTGTCAACACGACAGTTAAATATACATAATACATGTGCCATTATCATTCCTTGGAAAACTACTTACTATGTAAAATAGCTTTTGAGAAAGAGATACAATTACATTTAAAGATTCCAAAAGAAAGAAAAAAGGTTCTAAAAGGTGTATATATTCAACTCACAAGAAAATACAAGAAGTTAAAAAAACAAGCACAAGAAATGTGAAGGGAAAATGGTAAGATTTGAGCCAAGGAATATTCTGTCATTATTATCAGCGCAAAGGCTACGATGTCGTCTAATAGTTAAGGTCTAAAGTACTCTTACGTCCTCGCAGCCAAGGTCTATATAATATACTTAGATAGACCTTGCTCGCAGCGGCCACAAACTGCATTATGAATTACAGATGAACGCAATTTCTCAATTTTGTGGTTCAACTGGTAAATAATTAGGGTTTTCTCTGCTGAAGAATGTATTTGTGCTGGTTCGGTTCTCGATTTATTGAAATTACTTATTCCTTTTAGAATTTTGGAAGCTGTTGCTATACATTATGTAAGCAACAGTATTCGATGGAACTTCAGTTGACTATCGCATTCATTTTTCTTTTACTGTTGCATTAACATAATGTTAATATAACTACCATTTAAACTGTTTTTGTAGTACCGAAACATTTTTTAACAATTTGTGATTTAAAGGAAGTTTCATGCGAGAAAAAGAACAGTCACGATATATTGCACATTTTTAATGTAAAACATTCAAAAGTATTTACAAGAAACGTATAAATAAACTATAATAAACAATAACAACACAAGATAGACAGAACAACAATCCGAAATCAAGAGACAGAAACAAAGAAAAAAGAAAAAAACACATACAGGCGTGTGACTAGTCGAATCTCGTATCTTTGGACAGACAACCAAATACAAAAGACACAAAGCAGGGACGGCCATATGCAATGCGTGTTTACAGACCCAGTCACGCGCAGAAGTAGTCGCCGGCGGCACTTTATATGAGCACATCTGAAGTCAAAATGATTGCCAAACACCGTCTATGCATGCAACTCATTCCTATGGACAGTTTGTGTATTCGTGTGCGCGTTTGCTCTGTGTGTGTGTGTGTGTGTGTGTGTGTGTGTGTGTGTGTGTGTGTGTGTGTGTGTGTGTTGTGTGTGTGTGTGTGTGTGTGTGTGTGTGTGTTCCGTGTTTTACCGTTTTAATGACAAGCTGTCTCAATATTCACAATATTCATGGAAAACGCCCTTCCTCGCCACACTACTACAGTCTCTCCTCCCTCTAAAAAAAAAAGCAGATCTCCCTGGCTCTTTTCCCTCTTAGAGGTCGACGCCGAACTCGTTCTTGAGCCAAGGGTACATGTCCGGGCACTCGTAGCAGGTGTGCAGGTACCTATCGCCACGGACGGCGCGGTTCCTCAGCTTGCAGGACTTGGGGATGTTGCAAGCCTGGTCTTCCTGGGGAACCTGGGGGGGGAAGGGGCGGAGGTTAGTCAGATGTGTACGTGTGTATTTGTGTATAAGTGTTTGTGTATGTGTTTATGTACGTATGTATGTATATTTATGTATATGTTTGTATGTATGTGTATATATATGTATACATGCATATATGTATATGTATGCATTTAAGTATATGTATGTATGTTGTGTGTGTGTGTGTGTGTGTGTGTGTGTGTGTGTGTGTGTGTGTGTGTGTGTGTGTGTGTGTGTGTGTGTGTGTGTGTGTGTGTGTGTGTGAAAATAATATATATATATATATATATATATATATATATATATATATATATATATATATATATATATATATATATATATATATATATAGCAACGACATTTAAACACTAAAAAATAAAATAAACACGAAAACAACAACTATACCCAAACAAATAAATAAGTAAATAAATAAATAAAATAACATGTATAATAACAAACACTATCAAAAATAAACAAATAAATAAACAATATATAGTATAAAAAAATTATAAATACATAATTTAATAAATAAATAGATAAATAAATAAATAATTTAAAACATAATATATAAACGAATAAATAATTTAATATATAATATATAAATAAATAAATAAATTACTATATGATAAATAAATAAATAAATAATATATATAATACCAAACAAACACTATCAAAAAACATATATTCCAAAAACTCACTGTCTTCGAGCACTTCCAGGGTTCGAACGAGTTGAGCTGCGCGTTCGGAACGGGTTCGCGCATCCACTGAATGAGCTCTTGATTGTTAACAACCCACACATCCGGGAGTTTCATCACCTCGTCCAGGAATCTCTGCGTGGGAACCAAAGGGAATTTAGCAAGTACGTGACCTAGTAAATTATATATTTTATTTGGTTTTGTTGATTTTTTGTTATTTTTTAGGTGCGGAGATAAGGTATTTTGTTCTCGTGTTGATATGTTGTTTGTTTTTCGAAGAAATTTGTCAGTAGCTTAGCAAATATTTGCATTTTACTATTAGAAGCATATATTCACCTGCATTCCCTTCATGTTGTGCTTGACCTTAAACCAGATGGTGTGGAAATATAGGCCTAGAGGTGCCCTGTTGCTGTTGTAATGGCGCTTGAAATTGTGCATCAGCATTTCGTAGACTTCCTCGTCGTCGGGCAGGGGCGGGCACTGGTCCATCATGGCACAGGTGTATTCCTGCAAATGTGTGTAGTTGAATTAGGAGTAGGGAAAGGACGGCAAATTATGTTGTTCTCTCGTTCTCGATTTTTTTTTTTTTTTTAGAGTTATCGTTCTTAATCTTTCGTTCTCTCTCTCTCTCTCTCTCTCTCTCTCTCTCTCTCTCTCTCTCTCTCTCTCTCTCTCTCTCTCTCTCTCTCTCTCTCTCTCTCTCTCTCTCTCTACTTTCCTTTCCCTAACCCTCTACCAACCCCCCCCCACTCTCTCCATCTCTTTCTCTTTCCCCTTTCTCCCATTCCTTCTTCCTCTCCCTCTCAATTCTCCCTTTCCTCTCCCCTCTCACACTCACTCCCTTTTCCCCTCTCCCTCTCTCCTTTACGTTACCTACCCCTGTCTGCAGCTGGTTCAGCACAAGCTCCCAGATGCCAGGGAAGGGCCTCGATGGGCACTTCTGACCAGTACCCAGACACTTGTGCGGCATCTTGTAGTCCAGGGTGTAGGGCCAGATGGGCGGGTTGGAGAAGGGCGCCGCCATGGACGAGTCGTACACGAAGCCAAACTCGCGCATCATAATGAACTGGCGATTCCAGCCCACTCGGAGGTACGGCACGCGGACACCTGGGCGGGAGGGAGGCGGTCAGTTCAGTTGGATTAGCGGAGTCCTAGCTTTTCTTTGGCCTTTTCTCTGGAGTGGTTCGGCCTGTCGTTGGTATTCCTAGTTGTCTTACGTGTTTTGTTTGAACTGTATGCTTACGTGGGGCGTGTGGGGTGGGGGTTATATACACACCACCGTTGCTAATGCCGTTCATAAGAGACACATTGTAAATTCAAAAATAATGATAAAGGGAAGATTATCTACTGCGCGGGGAAAAGTATGAGAAGTAGGATATAATATACCATGTCGTTAGTGCCTGTGTGTGATACGGTTTACCAATAAGTGGAATTTTCGTTCATAGTAAACGCGTGGAATAGACTGGAAATAATAACATATTGAACTACGTGGGAAAAAATGCGAGAAGTAGACTATATACCCTAATGTGGTACTACTGACAAACAAGTGTATGTTCAGAGTCGCAAATAATTTCGTTAGTAAGGAACAAATAAAACAGACAACAGAGGGGGAAATCTGGCATGAAGTCAAAAGAAAAATGACAGGGACTGAAAATCTTAAAATCTATAAAACAAAACAAAAATAAATAAATAAATAAAGGAATGGGGGCGCAAAATCTGACATACCTTTAGAGAAAAAAAACTACAGGAGAAGGAATTTGGAATAACCTTAAACCTTCAAAAAATAAACAATCACTGGAAGAAAAAAACAAACAAAACACCCTATTTAGAACCAAAATCCCACGTAGGGGAAAAAAAAACAACCCGGCATCTCACCCCATAGGTCCTCCATCCTGACGCCTCCGAATCGGTTGATGATGTTCGCTTGGCCAACGAACTCGTCGAACCAGTCCTCGATGGTCGCGTTGTTGCTCCAGAAGCTCTCGGGGCCTTTGTGGCTGCGGCGAAAATGGGGCTGAGGATCTCTCGCATGGCACGGTATGATTCGCATTTTATTAGCTTTATGTTATTTTTGATGGGTGTTTATCATTGCAGTTGTTTGTTATTTGTATGATTCGTATTTTATTAGCTTTGTTATTTTATTTTTGATGGGTGTTTATCATTGTAGTTGTTTGTTATTTGTAGGTTTTAAAAAAATGTATTATCACTTTTTTTTAAATTGTATTATGATTCGCATTTATTAGCTTTATGTTATGCATTGTAGATTTGTATGATTCGTATCTTTATCATTTTGTTTGTTATTTGTATGATTCGTATTTTATTAGCTTGTTATTTTTGATGGGTGTTATCATTGTAGTCGCATTTTATTAGCTTTATGTTATGTTTTTTGATTGTTTGTCGCATTTTATTAGCTTTATCCTCTCATCACCGCTTCCCCTTTAACATTTTATTGGGCCACTCACTATTCTCAGTTTCATGTAGATATTTATTCTAACTGTATTATCATCATCCTCAGTTGATTATTTAATCTATCTTCCCAGATAAATATTTTTTTAAATGTACAAATAATTTTTTTAAAAATTCCCCACAAGCAACACTGTTATTTTTGTAATCATTCTGTCGCATTAACAAACACTTGCCTAAACCCCACTTTACCTTAGCCTTAACCCAAAATTTACCTTAACCTTCCCCCCCCCCCAAAAAAAAAAAAAATCATTTATAAAACAACTCCGAGATACTAACGTGATCGAGTGGACAGCGATCTCGTGTCCATCGTTCCACAGCTTCTGGACGTACTGGTAGTTCGTGTACTCGTGCGAGACGTAGAAAGTGGCGTGGATGGGGCAGCCGTTGGGGTTGGTCCTCGAGTCGGTGAACAGCTGGTTGTAGATTTCCCAGTTCTCGTAGTTGACGGCGTCGTCGAAGGTGATGGAGATGACCTGGGGGACCTGGAGGGGGGAGGGGGGGAGGGGGTTCGGTCAATGGCCAACCCGCGGAGGAGGTGCGGGTAAAGTCGTGTAAGAGTAGAGTATTTGGGGAAAAAAAGGTGCGGGTAAAGTCCCTGGCGTGTAAGAGTAGAGTATTTGGGGGAAAAAAATCCCGCAGAGACAATAAAGTTTGTGTTGAATGGAATTGTATTGATGTAAAAGCTTTTTAGGATTGTTTAATAGGCCAAAAAGGCACATCTTTGGGAGACTGTAAATATTAATCAAAAGTATGAAAGCCATACAACTTCATAATAATGAAAATAATAATATTAATATTTATAATAATAATAAAGTTAAACCTAATAATAAAGATAGAATAATAAAGCTAAAAATAATAATAAAGCTAAAAATATTAATAAAACTAAAAACAATAATAAAGCTAAAAATAATAATAAAATTACAAATCAACGAAAATTATACAAAAAAAAAAAAAAAAAAAAAACTCCATTCAACACACAATCCACTCTACCTCGTGGGCGTCCCGAGAGAGGGCCCCAAAGTGGGCGTCCTGAGAGAGTCCCGAGAGAGGGCCCCAAAGTGGGCGTCCCGAGAGAGGGCCCCAAAGTGGGCGTCCCGAGAGAGGGCCCCAAAGTGGGCGTCCTGAGAGAGGGCCCCAAAGTGGGCGTCCCGAGAGAGGGTTCCTGTTTCCTTAGTCCCGAGCGATCACGAGCGCGTTTCTTCTTCTAGTGGCGGTGGGCGTCCCGCGGGTCTTGTCTCTCGTTGAGAGTGGGCGTTAGAGTAGAGAGTGGGTTTTGGGCGTTGGGCGTTTGGAGAGAGGTTTTGCGGTTGGGCGGGTGTGTTCCATGTTCCCAGGGATGAGCGTTCCGTCACGGGAGCAGAAGCACCAGGGCAGCGTGCAGTTCTTGTAGTCGCAGCGGGGGGCGGCGTTGGGGTCGTTCTCGGCGTCTGCGGGAGGGGGTGGCGTGGCTTTAGGCGTGAGGTGTGGGCGTTGGGAGGGTTTTCGGGCGGGTGGGGGTCGGGGTGTGAGTGTGAAGGGTCGGGTGGAGTTTTAGGTGTGGGTGTTAAGTTGAATTTTTTTTTTAAGGTGTGTATTTCGTAGTGGGTTAAGTTAATTATTTTTAAGGGAGATATTTCGTAGTGGGTATTAAGTTGATTTTTTTTAAGGGAGATATTTCGTAGACATGTTTAGGATATTTGGAAGTTGCTTTGTCGCCGCATCGGGGAAGAAAACGGATGATTCGAAATTTACTCTGCGATCAGAGCAAAAATTACCCACATTAAACTATTAAAAAAACCCGCCTTACTCTTTCCATCAAAGCTAAATAATCTACGACATGTAATTATATAGAAAAAAAAAAAGGCTTACTCTCCATCAAAGCAAAACCACCCACGACATTTAATCACATATTTATATATATATATAGATATATATATATATATATATAGATAGATAGATAGATAGATACGTACCGCACCATCCTTCGTCAGAGCCGTCGTAGCAGTCCACTTGTCCGTCGCAGAAGAGCTCCGACGGCAGGCAGGTCTTGTCGGCGCACGCGTACTCGCCGTAGCCGCAGATGGGCTCGTCGGTGTCCAACAGAGGCTTCGGGGTGGTTAGCTCTGGGGGCGAAGGTGGGGGGGGAGGTTATTTGGGTTGGGCTGGGGGGGTTCGGATGTGAATTTTTATTTTTTTAATTATTTTTTTTTTTTTTGGGGGGGGGGGGTTATGGATTCGGATGTATTTTTTTTTTTTTTTTTTTTTTTTTTTTAGGTTTTGTGCATTCGAATGTTATATTCTTTAAAATTTTATCGATGCAGAAGTTGTAGTTTATTTACGTATTGTGGATTCAGTTGTTATATTTATAAAGAAATAAGTGGGATCACACATTCCGACCTAACCTTTTTTCAAATAAACAAAACACCATCAAATTAAATAACATAAACCGTATTCCATTAACGTTATGAACACGGTCAAACAACAACAAATTAAATAACACAAAACGTATTCCATTCTCGTAACATTACGTACGGATGTGGGTGCCGCAGTTGAACACTTTGGACTTGAAATCACAGATCTGGCGGTCGATGTCGAACAGCAGGCCGACAGAGCACTTGAATTCGTACACTTCGCCATCTGTATGATAAAAAAAGAGAAAAAAGAAAAATAAATAAGTTTGTGTTATCTGTATAATAAAATGAATAAATAAATGAATAAATAAAGGATATGTTTTGTGCTGTCATTGTCATTTGTATAATAAAATTGATTTATTAATAAGACTGTCATTTGTATAATAAAATTGATTTATTAATAAGATTGTCATTTGTGTAATAAAATGAATAAATAAGTAAATAAAAGATATGTTTGTGTTGTCTTAGGTGCAGTATGGGTTGTTAGGATGACAAAATCTTGAAGAATATAGAGTTATGGAAGAAAAGGAGAGGATTATACGTTTATGGAAGAAAAAAGAGCAATATACGTTTATGGAAGTAAAAAGAGAAATATGTTTTTATGGAAGAAAAGTAAAACAATAATCTACGTTTATGAAAGAAAGTAAGATACGTTTATATAAGAAGAAAAGAGAATACACAATTCCAGAAGATAAAAAAAAAAAAAAAAAAAAAAAAAAGCCAAAACATTGCCATATTTCACCAGCCGATTCAAGTACCACCACAAACCACTCACCGAGACAGAGGTAGTACTTAGCACACTCGCTAAGGTTCCGCACTTTCTCAGGATCTGTGTTGGGGTTCCTGTAGAACTGCCCGTTGGCGATACAGGGCACGTTGAGTCGCAGGGCACGCTTGTTCCGCAGGAGGGGGTGGTCAGGGTTCACCGCGCCTGTTGGGGAGAAGGCAAAGGCCAATTTAGGTTGGGTGGCGGGGCTGTGCTCATGTACCTGGTGTAACTTAGCGTAAATACCTGATACTGGGTTATACTGGGTTGTATGAGGGATTTGGGTTAGACTATGTTGGGTATTTGTGTTAGGTTGTGTGCGGTATTTGGGTTAAATAAGCTTATTTATATTAGGTTATATCAGGTAGTTAGATGGGGGTTGTATCAGGTACTTGTATTAGGTCATATTAGGAAACTATATTAGGTCATATCAGGTTTTTATGTTTAGTTGTTCTAGGTATTTGTATTAGGTTATATTAGGTGATTAGATTAGGTTATATCGGTTATGCATTTAAGGTTATATCAGATACTTTTAATATGTGTGGTGCTAGGTATGATTTTATTAGAGAATATGTCATTTGTGATGTGTCAAAGATTTATTTTTATACCTAATGTGTAAATCATAACAGTAGGTAATCATTATTAATTCAGCGTTACTAATGTGAGTCTCATTGTTATCATCATTATTATTCCTAATCATCATGCTTTTGTTTCTATAATTGTGATAATCATTAGGATACTATTTATGTTATTGCAATCATCATCATCATTATTATCAGTATATCACAGGTTTTTTATCATTGTTCTTGTTATCATCAGCTTCATCATTATCATCAATAATTTCAACGCTTGTAGCTATTATTTCCACTGCAAAGAATAACAAGAATTGGATATCATTGACATAAATAACATTTAAATTACATTATTATATTACACCTATATGAAAAGAATAGTTAAGAGTACAAATGAATGTTCTCCTAAATATTTAGTGTAGCGTGTCTATACATTTTTAGTTAACATGGACTTTGCTAAATTAATACCGATTTTTTATTCGCTGTGCATCATAGGAACATGTATAGTAAAACCTATTGTAATGTCTGTTCATTGTTATATTGCATAACATCTGGTATTATCTTGCTACACCAAATATACTTTCCTACTTGGGTATGCAGTCAATTTGGAGGACTGTGAAGTAATATGTTGCTTTCCGTTACCGTTAAAATAGGTTAGGCCGCCGCCACCGTTCCGTCTGACTGCCTTAAACAAGAAACTCGTATGTTAAGAAACTATTAGTTGCGTATATGTGGGTCGTCCCTTCCCTTGCGAAATTTAAAAAAAAAAAAGAAACTTGAATTCCCGCAGTGTTGGAGCAACTTGAAATCACACGGTGCTAAAGTCACTTCAATTTCCGCGGATTTAAAGCAATTTTTGAAATCACTCTACGCTAAGGCAATACAAGATGGCGTGTCATCTCCCGACGAATCATCTTGACACTTCCTCCAGTGACTCGGCATTTACTCTAACCGTAAAGGAAAGAGAGAGAGGGGGAGGGAGGGAGAGAGAGAGAGGAGAGGAAGAGAGAGAGAGAGAGAGAGAGAGGGGGGGAGGGGGTGGGGGGAATGAGAGAGAGAGGGAGGGGGAATGAGAGAGAAAGAGAGAGCAGAGAGAAAAAAAAGAGAGGGAGGAGAGAGAGAGAGAGAGAGAAGGAGAGATAGAGAGAGAGCGGGGGGAGGGAGAGAGAGAGAGAGAGAAACAGATAAAGAGAAATATAGAAAGAGAGAGAGAGAGAAATATAGAAAGGGAGAGAGAGAGCTTCATTTTCACCGGCCAAATGTTACGGTTCGCGGATTCATCGCCAGAGCCTCGAACGCGCTTGTCACCCGCCCCTTTGGGTACTACCTGGGGGGGGGGGGGGTACGGGGAGGGAGGCATCAGCGAACACCAGATTTTTAAATGTAATTTAGATATAAAGTTAGTCGCAGTCTTTCCCGACAGATCTGCCACTGGCCTATCTTCCGGGTCACAAAGCGCTTGAGGTTGCTACAGGCGGTCGAGTGGCCGGCGGTCCCTTTGCAGACAATTAACCGTCATTTTAGAAAGTGTTTAAACAGCGATGACGGTTTGTGTGGCTAAGAAGAGAGAGCGCGGCGGGAAAGTGCTCAGCTGAGGAGCGAAGCCGAATTCTGCGATTCTTTGCGGACTCGAAGTGCAGTGACTCGAAAAAGTCTCACAGATCTCTCCCTCTAGTTACACGTACATAAATGCATACATGCATATGCACATACACGCATGCAGTCATACATACACATATAATACATACATGCAAATACATATACACACATGGAGTCATACATACACATAATACATACATACTTATATAATACGTACATACATATATTAGATATATACAAAACACATACAAAACAAACATACACAAATAAGACACGTATGAGCACTGTTGTGAGAGCACGTTTGTTTATAATGTATGAACTTTTCCCCTGTACTGTGCCTGGGAAAAGAATAGTTACGTCACCAAAGCCACATCTTGACCACACGGGACCACCTGCACACAGCCTTTCACCCACACACACGCACATACACGTAAATGCACACACGCACATACACGTAAATGCACACACGCACATACACGTAAATGCACACACGCACATACACGTAAATGCACACACGCACATTACACATACAAAATGCACACACGCACGCACACACTCACGTACACACGCACGCACACACACACACACACACACACACACACACACACACACACACACACACACACACACACACACACACACACACACACACACACACACACACACACACACACACACACACACACACACATGAATCAGGTTTGAAAATTTAAAAACCCTTTCTCGCGCCTTCAGGAAACACGGGCGTCGACTCGAACGCCAAAGGAAGAGGAAGTCGGGGCGCCGTCACGTCGGAACGCGTCTCCGCTCGAGTGAAAGTGCGTCGGAAGCGAGTCTTGCCTTCCGTGGGAGATTTGGCGAGAATTTCTGTCAAGTTTAGCGAGGCTCTTTGGGTTATAGCGTGGACCGTGGCATCGTTACGGTAAGATTCTGCTTTGTATAATTTTTTTCGCGATTTTCTGGCTCCATTCTATCTGTCACTTTTTCACGATTTTTTGGCTCCATTCCATCTTTTTTTCACGATTTTTTGGCTCCATTCCATCTGTTTTTTTTCACGATTTTTTGGCTCCATTCCATCTGTCAGATTTTTTGGCGGCTCATTCCATCTGTCATTTTTTTTCACGATCCATTCCATCTGTCATTTTTCACATTCCATCTGTCATTTTTTTTTCACGATTTCCTGGCTCCATTCCATCTGTCACTTTTTCACGATTTTTTGGCTCCATTCCATCTGTCAAGTTTAGCGGAGCTCTTTTGGCTCTTGCTAGACCGTGGCATCATTACGGTAATAATTTCCCCTGCATCAATTTTTTCACGATTTTATGGCTCCATTCCATCTGTCTCTTTTGCGAAGCTCTTTTGGCTCTTGCTAGACCGTGGCATCATTACGGTAATATTTTGCTCTTCATCATTTTATTTTCACGATTTTATGGCTCCATTCTAGTGGCAAGATATACCTCGCTGAAGAGGGATCGTGCATATAAACATAATTTTCTCTAAAGTAGCAACAAAAAAGGAGAGCGCGATGAAAACTTAACCTAAACAATAAATTATAAACATAATTTTCTTCAAAGACTAGCAACAAAAAGGGAAAGAGCGAGGCACATTAACGATGCAATAAATATGTGAATCCGCGGCTGTTTCCAGCGACAAGAAAGGAGAGAGGAGAGGAGAGGAGAGGGAGAGGGAGAGGGAGAGGAGAGGAGAGGGAGAGGGAGAGGGGAGAGGGAGAGGGAGAGGGAGAGGGAGAGGGAGAGAGGAGAAGGGAGAGGGAGAGAGAGAGAGAGAGAGAGAGGGGGGGGGGGGGGAGAGGAGAGAAAGGAGCGTTAGGCAAGGGGAAGGAACGCCAGCGACAGATGGCGCGGTGTGTCAGATGGGCGCGGGACATGGCGGGAAAATGAAAGTTAAAAAAAAAGAATAATTGGGTAATTGAACGATCGGAAGGCAATTCAACGGTTTCAAATGACAACTATGGCGATTTTGGAAACGGTGCGAAGATTGCCAATTGCAGCTCTCGTGAGGAGAAGCACTTCCTCTCGCGCAATCTTATATTTACGTATAACTTTCGAGAATATAACTGCGCATGTCAAACCCCTCATCTACCACCTGCTGGCGAGAGGGAAAGTGAAGCTTCGAAAATAATCGTATGTAGTTTGGTGAAGATAATTACTTGGGGGTGTTTTTTTTCTTTCTTTTCTTTTTTATTATTAGATTATTACTCGCTTATCTTGTAGGAGTGAAAGTGCTTTTTGGATGATGAAAGTCTCGTAAAAGTACTTCCGGTGATGTGTATTTCGATCATTATAAATGCATTTTCCACGGTCTGTGTCTACGTGCCTAAATTCTGTTGGTTGTAAGATAAAAACAGGAAAGAAAATGAGAAGTTAATTGGGTATTAGAGCTTTTGAAAACAATGTATTGCATAAGCTTTCGAAAATTGGTTATGCGGAATTATTGTATACTTCGATGGTAGTTTTAGTTTAGGTTCGTAATGCCTTTGAAGTAATGCCTTTTATTACCATGTGTACCTAAGAGATGATGATGATGATAATAACAATACTAATGATGATAATGATACTAATAATGATGATGATAATGGCAATAATGATAATAATGATAATGACAACAACAAAAAACAACGTAATGTACATTTGGATGACAGTGTTGCTTTAGGTTCGTAATCCCTTGTAATCTCGTGTGAACGTAAGAGCTAATAAAAAGAGTAATGGAATACTGAAATGGTACTTAAAAGCTAATGCCATTTCGCTCACATTTCGTAATGTTATTAAGCCGATTACTTATTATTCTTCACATGTTTACATCAGCCGTTGATTGTTCAATTCGTCGAAAGCGCCATTTAAAAAAATACATATTGGTTATTGTTGTTATTATCATTATTATCATTATTATTTTTATTATTATTATGATGATGATTACTATTATTATTATTATTGTTGTTGTTGTTTTGTTGTTGCTGTTGTTGTCATTGTTGTTACTGTTAATATTATTGGCATTATTGTTGTCATTGCTAATATTCTTATTATAATTATCATTATTATTGTTATTATTACCGCGACATATGTAGCAATAGTGGCGGAGAAAAGGGGAAACTTGCGCAAAGGAACATTCATTTTTTTATCGTCATCATCATCGTCATGATCGTCAATATCACTGTTGTAACTGTTACCATTATTGTTATTTTACTGTTGTTGCTGTTGTTGTTTTTGTTAGCATAATCGTCGCTATTATTATCGTTGTTTTGTCTTAGCTGTCATTATCATTATTATAACCATTGTTGCTATTATTATTACTATGATTATTACTATTATTATTACTATTATTTTTACTATTATTATTGCTCTTATTGTATTCATTATTATCACAATTATATTGATTATTATCATTATCATTTTCATTATTACTATTTTTGTTATGAATATCATTGTTATTATTATTATTTTTATTATCGTCATCACTATTACTACTACTATTATTATTACTGATATTGGTATTATTATTGATATTGTTTTTAATATAATGCTCACTATTATTATTATCATCATCATCATCATCATCATCATCATCATCATCATCATTTTGCGAGTAATGGATTTGTTTCACGTACACTTAATTTTATCATGTTTTATCTACTTATTCTTATCCATCGATTTACTCCAATTAACGCATGCTCTGTCCATTCATCCATTTATCCGTTTGCATGTGTTTTTTATTCAACTTTCTTGGAATTAGTCAAGTTTGGATTGTTTTTTTTTTTTTTTTTTTTTTTTTTTTTCAAACGACTTTTTCAATAGTCATTATTATCACTTATTTATTATTTAATTATTATTATTATTATATATATAGTATAGTAGTAGTATTATAGTATCATTATTATTATTATTATATCATTATTATTTATTATTATTATTATTATTATTATTATTATTATTATTATTATTATTATTATTATTATTATTATTATTATTATTATTATTATTATTATTATTATTATTATTATTATTATTATTATTATTATTATTATTATTATTATTATTATTATTGCTCATTACTTTTGTTCCTATTCCTCCGTTTGTTTATATTTTACGAATTATTTTTGTGTGTGTTCTTTTCAGTGTTCTAAATCATCACGTCCTCCCTTATTTCAACTTTCAACTTTTAAAGTATGTTATTAACGATTTTTTGGGA